CCGTCCTCCTCTCCTCTTAGCTTGTTTGTCTTCCTCTCTCCTCCTCTCAACGACAACAGACGTTTTGTTCATTTCTATTTTCCTCTCCCTAATCCCCCTCGCAGGCGTTTTTATGTTAAGGGACTACATTTCTCATTTTTTCGCAGGCCCTCCTTCTTCGCCCGCAAGGCCTGCCCCGCGCGCCCCCCCCCCCCCCCCCCCCCCCGCCACACTCTCCCCCCCTTTTTTCTTTTCGTTTTTCTACTTTTTTATACACATATATACACACACACCTGCCCGCGGGCCGCGCGCGCGCGCGCACGAACACACACACAAACACACACACACACTCTCACATACAATCTCAAGCATTTATATATCTGAGCAGCAATTTATAAGAAATAATAATCTTAAGCTAGATACATACATACCCTATGTTATTCTGATGCATGTTCTCTCTAAAGTCATATATGAATGCTTGTTATAAGCAGATGGTTAAGGTGGAAGAATTTTGATGGATGATGGTAAAAATGATCTTCTGTATCTTTCTTCATTACAGATCAGAAACCTGGGTCTTTTACTTCTGACTGATATTTTTATTTGAGAACACAAGGGATGTTTGTTGTCTTTCTTGGTTAAAATAAAATTCAACCGTTCTGCTTTTTTGAAATGCCTAACATTGTCTGGTGCTGGAGTTTACTTTCTAAAAGTGTGACAATGATTGAAGAACAGGTATCAGTTGTGTCACCGAAGTTTGCTTGACATTTGTGCGGCAGCGTGGTGGAATCAGGCTCTCGTCAATTTTTGGACATGTAGAGTTATTGTTATCATCTTAAAGCTTGTTAACTTGTCTTTATTTTGATGAAAAAAATATCCCTTTATCTTGAAAGCAAGTCGAGATATTTGTGTTCTTAGAGGTAACATTAGTGAAAAAAAGGCCGCCAAAGATTAGTTATCTCCTTAGTTTAAGAGTCCATGGTAACTGAAAATTTACTTTTTCGTGCCTTTAATCAACATTTTTCAGAAAAATCCACACAGAAATGAGTTCTTTAATGGGCATGAAAGGTGTTGAGCCAAAAAACGAAAATTTCACAAAAATTTCACAAACCTGCAGAAAAAAGCAGATTTTTCCACTCTGATTATTTTGACGAGAGGCTGATTCCACCACGCTGCCTCACATTTTATTGTGAGCCTTAACTCACAAACCACTCATCGGCCTTTAGAGACCCCCCCCCCCCCCCTCCTTTACCCTTTTCCGTTTGTTTGTTTTTGTTTGTGTTTTTTTTGGTTCGTTTTGGGGCTGTTGTTACAGTGGAAACCATATATAACAGGCCCGGTAATAACAGGGATCCGGTAATAACAGGGATTTTTTAAATCCCCGATTTTTCCTACTCTTTGTTTCTATTAAAAGTTGTCGGAAATAACAGGGCCTCATCGGAGCCCAATCGGTTATAGCAGGGACAAAGGCTCGTTAACAATGTGTCAAAAGTAAGAGAAAGAGAGAGTGACGCAGTGATGGAGCAAGCCCACGCAAACCATGCCACTGCAAGCACACGCAGCGTGTGAAGCGAGAGAGGGCTGCGGTGTGCTGCAGACCTCGATCTAGCCCGAAACCTAGCAACACGCACGCGTAATGTGTCTACTGTCACCAACGATGTCAAGCGCAAGAAAAAATGCCTTTCACTTTCAATTGGCAAAAAGTCCCGAAATAATCCAGGCTGTCGACAAAAAGCAAGCTCCACTGGCAGAGATTTGTCCTCAGATCGACATTCCACAAGGGTCGATTCACACCATTATCAAGGATAGAGAGAAGATAGTGGCAGCATACTCCAATGGAAAGTTTGCTCTGAATCGAAAGAAGATGAGACTACCCGATGCAGATGCTATGGACCAAGCTCTTCTGATGTGGTTTAAGGAGGCTAGGAAAAAGTTGGTGCAAAAACCCCTGTCCGTGGGTACTTGTGGCAAAGGAAACTACCCATGAATAAGTACAGCTGGATTAGTCCACAAATGCTTACTTTCCTAGCATTTCTGATTTAACAGGGATCGGATATAACAGGACATTTTCTCTACTCTCACCATCCCTGCTATATCAGGTTTCCTCTGTATTTTTCTTTTACTATGAGTTGTTGGGTTGTTGTTGTTTTTTTGCTTTGTTTGTAGTTTGATTGTTTTGTTTCTTTGTAACACTTTGTTGTTGGTTTTTAATTAATTTTTTTTTACACAACTCGAAAGAGGTAAAAAAAAATCTATTTACTTTGTGTGTTGGGAATCACTTTTTTAAAAACCAAGAAGAGTAATACATGTACTAACACAAACGTTGTAATGTCGTCGACTCCCAGAAGCCGTTCTTTCTTAAGTACATGTACTTTGTCGTGTGTGAGAGTTACTGATTACCATTGTATTTGTTAGATGGGATGAAGGAATGTGTGTATGAACGTTTGAGGGGGGAGAGGCAGGAAAAGGGGGGGGGGGGTAGGGAAAGAGACAGGAACAGAGAGAGATAAAAAAAGAGGGAGGAGGGAAAGAGACAGAAAGAGAGAGAGAGAGAGAGAGAGAGAGAGAGAGAGAGAGAGAGAGAGAGAGA